TATATATATATATATATATATCATTGTTTTTTTTTTGGTGGTTTTTTTTGCACTAAATTATTATTGTTATCACATGCTGAACTTTAGACCACCAAAAGAATAGGTACAGATTTCAGTGAAAAAAGGAAAGAGAAAATCACATAAAGTGAAGCAAAGGGACACAAGGGCAACATTTATTTTTTTTGTATTCAAAAATCCTCAAAAAGGTCTGTTAGGTAAATGAGCATATATTGAGAAAATGGTTGTTTGTGTTTTCTATGTGCATCTCTAAGATGTCCTTTTATTGATGTGTAGAAATAATACATTTAAAAGAATTGTTCACCCAAAAAATTGCTGAAAATGTACTCACCCTCAAACCACCCAAGATACAGATGAGTGTGTTTTATTCATCAGAAATGAAAGTGTCAGCAAAGGTGGTACCAGGAAGACTATTGTCATTCATGCATAATTATTAGCTCTGGCCAATCACAGCTTGACACTTGGAGTATATAAGTACTGACTTTTCTCTTTTATGATTGCCGTTTATGATGCATGATGTTCCCCTCCATCCTCCCCACCACCATCAGTATATAAACTAAAAATTCACAAGATTATACAATTACATAAGCTTACCCTATCTTTTGTCTGTGTATGTGTCTCAAGAATCTCAGGTGTCAGTTGCATCTTGAGACTGCAATTAAAATCACACTTTTCCTCTTCATGCTGCTCTTTAAGATGTAGTAGTAATAATAATAATAATAATAATAATAATAATGTTTTATTTACATAGCACCTATCAAAAACAAATAAAAATATACAGTCACATAATCAAACAAATAAAGCAGACAGAGATAATCTTACATACCAGAAAAGTAATGCAATCAAGCATGGAATTGAAAAATGAGGCAGACAATCAATTAACAAAATATATTGTAAATAAGTGAGTTTGAGATCAGTTTTAAAGGTCTGGAGTGAAGAGACAGCACGAAGGTTTTGAGGAAGTTTGTTCCCGAGCTTAGGAGCTGAAATACACAAGCAGCTGAATTTTGGATTAGCTGTAAGCGATTAAGAGTTTTGTTTGGTAGGCCATATAATAAGCAACGTTATAAAAGCATGAATAGCAGTTTCAGCATCTTTGAAATTTAGTGATGGTCGTGAACGGACAATATTGCAGACCTGCCAACCTGTACGCATTTTGACCTCAAAGCACGCTGGTACAATTTGTCACTCTAAACTATGCAAAAACCTGGTGACGCCTCTGTCTACGCGCAGTATGTAAAACAAGCAACAGAAAAAGGTGAAGAGTTTTTCGGCTTTTGCATTTAAATAATTTCCGTGCGTTTTATTTCTCTCCAAACTGGCTCTGTTTGTGTGTCTATAAGTCTATACTGTAATAAAAGCTATGTTGACTAGCAATGGATCATATACTTACTTATTATGAAAATACCCAAGGTGGTTTTAAAAACACAGATAAACTATACATTGTCACAGTCGAGTGTTTATTGTCTAAATGTTCTCTTTGAATGTCATCATTCAAAGTGTTTCTATCTTCTTTTATTCAGATAGCGATAGCCGGATGTGTTTGTCCATATTAGGGATTTCCTGGAGCGTCATGAGTTATTTTTCTTCCGTAATGCAAATGTGGATTTTTTTTTTTTTTTGCGCGGTATGAATTAAACAGACATTAGGCCTACATATGTTTATAGCACTAAACAATGGCCAATCTATACAAAAATAACACTTCTCTCAAAAAAAAAATTTGAAGTAGACATACGATAATCCATGTTTTTCTACAGTGTACAGAAGTGTACTAGAGTTTTAATTAAAGTGTACTGGATTTTTTTTTTAAATTTTTTATAGCATTTATAAATTGCAAAAAAAAAAAGAACTCTGATGTGCCAAACCATCAGAACCAAACCCAAAACTGTTGAATTGGAACAGAAAATGGTATTTGTTGAACCGTGAGCTAACTGTATTGTTGCATCCCTACTGTTTACTCTAAAATACTGTATAACAGGAACAAACTGAGTGCAGACCCTGATTACTAACTTATGGGAAAAAAAAGAAAAAAAACACATTAAATCTTGCATTACGTGTAATTACCCCCCACCCTCATGTAGATTCAAAACAAAAATAAGACATTATTTCTAACTGAATCAATGCACTTCCTTTTGTTCAAACAGGATGTGGAACATACCTCAGCTTACAGGATATGTGTGGCTGTTTGCAAAGTACAGCTGCATGAAATGCTTGTCATAAAACAGAAATAATCGCGAAGATGCAATTTATGTGTCAAAAATATTGCTGTTTTTAATATATTATATCAGTATAGTATTATACATAATTGGGTGTTATTTTGAGTACACATTTTTGGGAAGCATTACATGCCTGCAAATTTGTGAAAATTAACAGAAAATAGCATATTACACTTTACCCTCATTATAAATCAATAAATATAATTTAATTAGCTCAGAAAATACAAGTATCATGTTTATATTTCTAACCTTATGAAAACTGCATCACACCTCCACACTAAAGCTATGTAAAGCTTGTGGAACTCTTTAAAATGTTATTTTAACCCTCAAAGACCCAAATATAAAAAAGAAAAAAAAAACTGAAAAATTGTATTTTACCTTTTTAAATGTTGTTGTTAGGAGGCCTCTAATGCAGATTTTTATTTTCTTTTACATTTTAGTCTTTAGGGAAGTGTTGGGCGTTGGGCTCTTGGAAAGCAGAATTTCAGTGATCGTACTCACTGTCTGAACAAATGTAGAGAACGTCTAAAGGTTCATTTGCTGGGTGTAATGCTTCTGTAACCCCTGGCCTATATGAATATATACATTAATAATCACACAATAATGATAAAATAAATCATATTTTTATGAAAAAAATACATTTATTATAAAAATACATTGAGATTATATTTACAAAACCTGATGAACTACATGAAAACTTAAAAAAAATAAAATAAAATCACTTGTCTAAAACTTCCATCACTTGTATCAAAGTCAATCTCTGTCACTGTCCCCAATTTTTTATTGATTTTATTTTTATTTTTAATTTTTTTTGGACAACATCAGTGATATCATACACATATGATGGGATGGTCTTTCCCGGGCTGGTGGCATTCTGAAATAGAAAAAATATCTATATATATATATTTCAATGTAGTATAATTTCAATGCAAATCCATTTCAATCATACGTGTACATTTTAAAGAATTCACACATTTCACGCATTGTGTTCTTCAGTTATCGTGCTACTAGCCCTAATAACCCTCCACATTCCAGAATATTATCATCTGTGTCTCATGCAGAAAGCAGATATTTGTGCAAACAAGCAGAAAGAAAATAGGACTAGTTAAGTATTTTTTATAAATGATAAGATACAGATGGTTTCAAATATTGCTACATAAGTACTTTCGTGAATAAATAATTTATTCTTGAACTTATTAATAATCATTAAATCTTTATTGAAACTAAAAATGGTAACAAAAAAAAAGACTTTTAAAACTTGTGAATCATCAAAAAGAGTATGTTTCTGTTAGTATTTTTTTCCACATGGAACAAGAAAGAAGAAAATGCATGCATGTAATGTAAAAATTCAAAAAGAAGCACAATTCATGCTTGTAAGGTGCACATGCAAACTGTGCTGCCCTTTAGCCCAATGTTGCAAAATTACAACACTGACATAACAAGCTCAACATCTAACATGATCAAAGCATTCGACCATACCTCAATATCTACATGATCTAGACATATTACCAATCACAGAAAAAAATACTTTAGGCATTTTACTTACTTGAATCTAGATTTATCCATTCCAGTAAAACAAGATGATGTGCTTCAAGGGAAGTTCGCAGGTTGTGTGAGTTTATGGCCAGGTATGCATCCAATAGCATTGCAAGGCTAAACAATAGAACCTATTAGTTGTGTAAATGTGGTGTTGGAGAGAAGAAAAAACAAAACAAAAACATGAACGGGCTTATTTTAGTCAAGCTACAAATGATGTTGTCATATTACAACAGTGGGCCTTACAGGGTTAAAATTCTATGTTTACTCTAGTTAATAATGTTAGATATATTATAATATAATTGTGCTATTCATCTAGTGAAAATACAAGTAGAGATATTGAGAATTTGAAATTTTATCTTTGATATTACAGTGATTTAAAAATGCTTACACACAGTTTTTGAAACTATGGCTCCATTTCTCAAAAATGAAAGCCTTCAGCGCAAGTTCCGTCAGGACTCCAATGCCACGTCATTCATTCATACTAACAGATCTGGCCAATCACTGCTTAATAACTGGAGTATATAAGACTTTCATCTTCGCAATTGATGACGCTGGCGTTCCCTGCTCAGTCAGCGAAACCGCCGCTTTAAAACTTTAGCAAGACTTTTCATAAAATTACTTAAAATTAATCTTTTGTGAACGATTATGTAAATGACACTCATTTCACGATGCATGCTATATTATTAATATTGTGCAACAAACTAATATCACAGTAAACGTTTGTGGTTGTTTGATCACCTTACTATGAATTAAAAGTGTTAATATTTTCACAACAGAAAATGTGAAACACTAGCAGGGCTCAATCACAAATTATATTGTGCGTTCCTTTTGCTATTGGAGAGCTATATCTTACGATTAAAATCTCAAAAGCGTCTCGCTTGCTCACGTTTGTTGTTCCCTCATCTACGAGTTTCACCTGAACTCTCATGTAAACTTTCATTGAAGACTCTCCGGGCTGCTTCAGCATTCTGTCTTCATCACTTCATCAGTTATAAGTCTAAACCATTATAAGTATTTATATTGTTTTTCAGACAGGATCAGCCAAATCAGGATTTGGACAAAGGACGGGGCCTACGCCAAAGAACTTTCTATGCAAATATACATGAATTATTGTAACTCACCACCATCTGTTAACACTTCACGGAATAAATACCATGTAAATGTTTACCTTCTCTCCGAGTCTTTCTGAAAGAACTCAACACACAAAAGCACAAAACACACACACAACATGCAAAATGTCACACACATCTTGGAAAAGCAAACACTTCTTTCAAAACTATTTTATTTATGGTATTTTTGCATAGTAACTCTACACACAAATATAAAATAATTAGCCAAATACACACCAAACGACACACAGATGTGAAAAATTTAAAACACTACTCTTGTGTGCAGGAGCAGACGTAACATTTAGGTGCTTAGGGCCCCGGGGAATCAGGGGGCCCCATCTGACATTGGCAAAACATATTTGCAGTGTTGATCAATGGAACCAATCACAGAATATCTGTTGATTTCTTGATAGCAATTACAAGAAGTGTTTACAGTTGTTTTTTTTCAACTGCTTGCACACAAAATCTTTACTTGTCACACAGTTTCTGAAACCTGACACTCAAACAGCAGAACCACACACCAATCTAACAGGAAGTATCTTGATTTCCTTTTTCAACCACAGCCACGTGCAAACACTCATTGTTTTACTGAACACCAACCAATCATGCTTAAGAACAGGCCTATAAATACACAACTACACAACTACACATGGCTGATGTACTTCTTTTCTTTTGTACTGTGTAATACTGTATTCACAAACACAAATGCTTACAGTAAAAAAAAAAAAAAAGTTTGGTTTTAATCTTGCTTTCGTGTTTTTTGAGTGATTCTTTCTGCTAATTACTTCCAATCTTGTGCACAAATGTACATAACGAGGGGTGAGAACCAGAAGGGCGTAAGTGACATTTTACCAACTTTACAGGAGGGCCAAAACTGGCACCAACTGGTTTAGTATGTTCAGTGTTAAGTCTTTTGGTTTCTAATGAATAAATCCAAAATTTAAAAGAATTCACTTGTGTCCTTTTGGAAGTAGAAAGAGCTCATCAAGAGCTTTCATTTGATATATATATATCTCCATTTCGCCCAAAATGTCACTTATGCCCTTCTGGTTCTCACCCCTAAGAGTAACTGTGCGTATATGATGTATCCAAAAATATAATATTATGGCAAAGGTGTTTGCAACGTAAGACAAACATTTTCTTTTGAGATGTGTTTGTGATATTTTGAATGCTTCATTTTGCAAGAGATGTGAGGCATTTTGTGTGTGCAATTCTTGGATGTGTGTGTAAAGTTTTGAAAAAAAAAAAGAGGCAAAGTTTTGAAAATGTGTGTAAGCAATTGAAAAAAAAACTAAGCTAGAATCCACTAACCTCTCAAAATGCTGTGTTTTTGTCAAGTGCTGAGTTCTGCACGCTCGGGAATCCTCTCATTATAGCAATGTAAATAAGAGATTCATTGTGCAGAGCTTATTAAGAGCTCCGTTTAATTAATAAGAGCTTATTAACGGAATATTGTATTACTGTAATGTTATATGTCAGTACTAAATGTTTGCCTATTCCTTTAAAGTACTTAATGTGCACATAATCTCAATTGTACATTCATTCCAGCATTAAACACACTGAATGAAACTTTAAAAGCAACTGTTTGAATATTATGAGGAAATATTTAACTCTAGCTGATTATAGCTGATTTAAAGTGAATATGTATATAAACTTGAGCAAATTTATATAACTAGGTCCTTATCTCTATGCTGTTGCATTGTTACATTATATCATTCAACTACTGTTTTCTTGTTGTCTTGTAAGTGTATATTGTTATTATTGTTCATGTATAGAACCACACTCTTACTGAAGAACGATTCAAATGGGAACAGTAAAGAAGTTTATTGTTGTTCCTGGACAATCTGTAGCGGCTGCCACTTAGATTAAGAACTGCACCTTTAAATTTCCACACGTTCCTGTTACGCTTGAATAAATTTAATGACTTACAGCCAGTGTTGGGAGTAACGCATTACAAAAGTAATAATATTACAGTAGTATATTACGTTTTGCTGTAACGCAGTAATATAACGCATTACTAATACAATTTTGGTAATATTATTACTCGTTACAATCTCAGTAACGCAAGTTACAACAACATATTTTAACTCAAAATTAAGTGGTGAATTTACCAACACCGCAAAACAGCACCAGAGAAAAAAATCCCGCGGGTAAAATAGTTTGTCTATTTCCTGTTGCTGGAATTAGATGGTTGAGATGACTGCAGAGACGGATTCTACATTTGTGAGATGGACACACTCCTGTTATTTTCAGTGTATTGGAGAAAAGGATAAGAATGCTTAGCAATACGTATTACAATTCAGAGACAGTAATATTGTAATGTAACTAATTACTTTCAAAAGACAGTAACTAGTAATATATAATGTATTACATTTTGGAAGTAACTTGCCCAACACTGCTTACAGCAAGATGTTTTCACATTAAAAAGAAACTGTAAGTTCATCAGGTGCTTAGAACTGCCTCTATGACAAAACTAACATTGGCGATTTTAATGGGGAAAAAAGGATTTTCTTAAGACGTGTTATTTCCCCGTCAGATCCATATGATGACGATCCAGATGTTTTAAGAGCAGAATTATCCTGCGGTTACTGGTCCACAAACACTGACAGACATCTGCAGAGTACAGCTGGATGAGGAAAGGGTAGTGTTTGATTTGAATATTTCATTTAAAGGGGTCATATGATGCTGCTAAAAAGAACATTATTTTGTGTATTTGGTGTAATGAAATGTTTATGCGGTTTAAAGTAAAAAATTTCTAGTGCCCTGGCTGCAACTTCTTCACTGAGAGATCAGATCCGTATAATCTAAGCGTTGAATGTGCCATTTGCACTGCAGAAAATAAAAAAAGCCTTTGAGTTCTGTTGACAGTGTCTGAGAGAATGGAAAGGTCCACGCCCTGGTGCTAATAGATGTGAAAATGACGGCTGCAGCAACAGAGATCTGGATCTGCTGAGGGATTGTTCAACTATTACTTTAAAAGACGCTGGAAATATTGTATGTCCAGCTCTTCGTGCCTGTATAAACTGTGGTTTTCTGCTTGAACACATCACAAAGGAAAGCAAATACATTAAATGCTGTCGATGTAATAAGGATTTTTGTTTTATCTGTCTCAAGCCCACACCTGACTGTGTGAAGACAAGTTTTCCATTTGTTAGACGATCAGCTCAAGAGTCAGAATGGCCTTTCAGATCCGCTACATGTAATATTAAAATACTCACAAAGAAAAACTCATGCCGACTATTTATGAAGCTTTTCAGAAAACCACCATTAGAGAGATAAAGGGAAAAGAGTTAATTACAGTGAACATTGCTATGTACAGTGTTTTTGCTTGTTCTTACCATTTTGTCATGTACACCATTTTGGACAATGAAGTGTGCTTATTGAATGTGTACTTGAAATGTTCTTCAAATCTTAAAAGTATATTTTTAGAAGTATATTCGTTTTGGTTTATTGATTAACATACCGAAGTGGGGCTCGTTCTTCGTACGTCACTAACTCAGTTAGCTGGATTTGATTGTTGGTGATTTAACATGATCTTGGATTGTTTGGTTCTTTGAAGCTCATCCCAGAGTTGCTGTCATAGCAACAGGTCCATTATCTCAAACCTGCTTAGTTCACATAAACAGGATTAGATTATATCTTTTTAAGTGAAAGTGATACTGAAAGTCTGTCACAGCTACTGTTCCCTTTTTTGTTTTGTTTTTTGATAAGTGTACCTCATGAAACCAGGAGAAATAATAATAATAATAATAATAATAAAATATTTACACACTACCAATTTTATTAATCGAGAGATTTATTCGGAAAGGAATCATTCTCATAATTTGATTGCAGTCATACACACATTACGTCTAGTTTGTCTGAGTCATGTATTAATTTTGAGCGGTGAGCTTTTATGCGGGTGGCTTTGATGCATCACAGGAGCTGAAGAGCAATTCTCAAATCTCAAAATACTTTTATGATGCACTATTCCTTTAAACACAGTCAGTTATGCCTTAAAATGGATTTTATGGATTAAGAAACTGCTGGTTGTGGTTTCTAGTATCGATATATACTGTATCTATCTGCACTTTATAATGAACATGACAACACAAGTAATCTCAGGCAACTTCATCCAGATATTGTAATCAAATCCGTTCACTTGTTTGAAGAAGCAAACTATAGTCAGAGATCAGTGATCAGATCAGAAGATCCAGCATCTGTCAGATCAGATGTATTCAGCTAGGTACAAAGAACGGACCTCTGGATTTTTCAGTAATCTTTACCCTTATATTTTAAGATAGTTTTTGAAGAAACTTTTATTTTTATTTTTTATCATTATTGTTAATCATTACCAATAGTAAAATATAAAACATTGCATATCGCATTTCGTTAAAAGGTTTGTGTTGTACTTCTACAAAGTGTATTATTAAATATTGTGTTTATATTGGTTTTTAACATGGCATGTTTAAACATATCTAAACAAAAGCATTGCAAGTACAATTTTGAAATTATTTTAATCTGTCTTGACTTAATTTTGTCTTAAATTAAAACTTATTTTTCAAACCTCAGAATGTGTTGGGAATGTTTAATTTCATTTAATTAGAATTGATATAATAATTATAGATGAATAAATTAGAATACTAGAAGCACTAAAAGCTAAAAATACAGTCACATCTGAACTTTTTTTAGCATGAGAAATCAAGCACATTTGTCTGTCAATATCAGTGAACCTAAGTGAATCACTAACCAATAATTAATAAGTAACTTAGAATTGGCTTTAAACATATTTACATGCATTAATGAAATAGCAGAGCACAGGGCATGATTTTACTCCAGTGAAGTTTTTCTCCATTACAGACAATGAATTTAAGACATGCTGACCCTAATGTTCAGAATCATCTGATAAACGATCATAACGCTGATTTCCACATTTCCATTTGTTAGACGATCAGCTGGTAACGCTTTAGATTACAGCCCACAATTTACAGATTATAATTTGTGATTATAGTGTACCTATACAGTACCTCCGTGTAGGTATAAGGGAATAATATGCTAAGTTTGGGGAATAAAGGGGTGACAACCTGGAAAATTACAAATTATTTATACTAAGTATTTTGAAACTATTTTAAGTGGTATGTATGACCTACTATGCTAAACAACAATCTTATGTTTGGGAGCGATTTAGCAAGAATATACACTTTTTAAAATAATACATTGATAGCCTATTATATTATAGACCTAGGGATTTTTTTAACCAAGAGGTACATATTCTGTTATTAAAGGATACACAATGGAGAACAACAAAACTGGAAATCTAGTGAAATGAGTTAATGTGTTTCTGCTATGATTTATAATTGACCATGTAGTCTACTTACCTTATGAAAGTGTTTTGTATTCCTCGATCTCACATCAGCAACTCTCAAACACCAGTATAACTACTTCTGATGTTCAATTTGCATGACATTGTATACCATCAAGGTGCAGTGCAGCTTAAAACAAGTTTAACTCTTTCCAACTGTTCCAGAAATAAAATATAACATGATATAACGCTTGTATTTCAGTGGCTAAACTGTAGAATTATAAAAGATAGACACTATATAAATTAGTGGTCATATCTAATTTTAATAATATTAAACCTGCAAGAGTATGCGCCATCACTAATTGAAATTTACCAATCAGGCATTTCATATCATTATAAAGTAGCATCAAAAAGCCACAAACCATTATAAAGTGACAGCTATCATTCTGAAAGGCTTTATGAAAGCTGACAGAAGTGTGCTGGAGCTCGACACTAGCTCTTCACAAAGCAGAGTCATGTAGATACTGTAGATATGATATTACACTGCACCTACAGAAAGTCCAAAACATTCAGCCGTCTACAGAACAATGCATTT